GAGGCAGAACCTGAGGCAAAGTGATAATGAAGAGATACATATTGTGCCACACAGAAGACCAGAAGAAGTCATTTGTTTTCTTTACATTTCCATTAGTTCCTTGAGTGGAGCAAGAAGACACTAATTTGCATAAAATGATGACAGTGGTTCAATACACAACAAGATGAGAGAAGTGTTTGAAAAGCGACTGCCTCTCCGTGATTTGTAAAAGCAATTAAGCACCTTTATTTATATAATAGCATTTGGCTACTATGTTGGGATTCAGGGTAATTATTTTTTCCATCAACGTCAAACTGGCTATTAATCATGACTAAATATGCCACAAAGCCATTAACCCAGCTGGACAAAACTCTTCAGATGCCTTTAAAAATAAACGTTGAAAACTCACAATTTAATCAAGCCACTTCCCCATTCATCACAGCAATCAGCCATGAAAGCAGGAACAACTAGTCCAGATTGCACCAATACACAGTTAAATATACCCATAGACAGGAAGTACAAAGAAGTCAATTGCTGTCAATGGGATCGCAGGATATCGCATTCCTCAAATCAGATAGGCCCTCTTTCTCTCTCCCGTCAGCTCGCACACATAACACACAGGCTCCACCCCCCTCCCCTCTGCCCGGGGAGGATAGGATTCACAGCATCCAGCAATTATCTGTAATGTGGGAGAAAAATCAATGCGCCCATGGAAAGCTGCTAAGGTCACCAAGCCGACTTTGGCGTTCAGAATGAGAGGCTTGTTATGCTTGCGGGGCAGAGGCTTGGAGCTTCTATCAAGTCAAGTAGCTGTGAAAAATTGTGTAAAAGCGAGGGATTACGATAATTATAAGCTTGTTCAGAGAAATAATTGGCTTTGGAGAGCTGAATAAGGACTTTGATAATCTATTAATATACATAGGAGGGCAAACATCTGATATGGCAAATAGCTATTGGGATGGAGGATCAAACTGATACAAAAATGCATAGAAAGACATGACATACTTGTTTTGTTTAAAGCTCTAATTCAAATTTTACTTTGCCTTTGCCTTAGTTTAGTTTATTTGTTTATTTATCAGGGACAATGCACATAAAAACACTGAGCTACACAAAAAGTCATAAGCTTGTGCTTCATTAAAGGTCTACTACTTTTCTGATGGAGGGTCTGTCTTCATAAAGATGTTATTGCTATGCATGGAATGTTCCAAAGTATGGCATTTCAGTCTACCTATCTCCATGGAAACAAGCAGGTAATTCGACCAGACGAATCTACAAGTCACATCTGTAATAGTAGAACACTTAAAAAATAACAAGACACACAAGTTAAATGCCATGATGTGAACATTAGTCGAGAAAAGCAATAACATCTCTCTATGAAAACAAGCATGGAGCAAACCCCCAATCAGAAATATTACACCTTTAAAAGAGATTTGTTTTCAGCTATTAGTAAAAAATAGTTATAGTAGTTGTTGATACAAGTTAAGACATCTGACCTTGGCTCCTCGTGGTTTGTCTCCTCCGCCCCAGCACTGGTCTCCACACTCTCTCCGCTCTCCTCCTCCATGTCCTCTCCATCCAGGTGCACTGTGACTGTGGTTGAAGTCTCTGTACCACAAAAACAAACCCGCTCACATACAGTAAAGGGAGGGGACAGGCCTGCTTGAAACATTGATAGTCTGCTGTAAATTCTATTAATGGCAATGGGATATGGAGAAGAATGAAAAATCAATATTGCGGGCCCAGTAATGTTTGAAGGATGAGGTTTGAGTGGCAACCTGAGCCGCTTTGCCTTTCCTCTGCTTCTGTAAGTGGTTAATCAAGTGCTTGTCTGACATCTAGATTGCATTTTCCTCTCGCCATTACTCCCCATTTCGATGCAGAGATACGCTATCAAATGTAGGAGATGGCAATGTGAGTAATCATGGAAGCCAACGATCTGATAGAGAGGCGCTGGTGGAAAACAGATAGAATATCAGGTTCAGTTTTAATGTCTCTGTGTGCCAAAGATAAATGTAATGTACTTGCTTAGAGCTGCTCTGTATCTCCACATGGGCTGTATGTGGGTGACACAGCATGTTTAGAGTGGAAACTGTAATCTTGTATTGTTAGGTGATAGGTATATCAGCACTGTGAGAGAATTAAATGGCTTAATGTAAACTCTATGCCTACTGTGAAAAACCACTTGGCTTAAGAGGTGGGATATAGATCAAAAAATAGCTGTTGTTGTTATGGAAACACAAATTAGAATATCAAGTAGGTCTAATCTTCTCTTCTAATCCTATTTTTGAAGGTCTTATAGTACACAAAATTGGTCCTTGTGCGCTTTAATACATATTATAATGTTGTTATCTCATCAAAAACATACCTGGAGTTGTGTTTTTTTTTCCATTCATGCATGTTTGGGTTATTTATTGTTAGTCTGTCTACTTCTCCAAAGCTCAAAATGCTCCTTGTGCACCTTGTGATGTCATCAAGTGGTAGTTTTCAAGTTAACAGCTACCTTTTACTTTTTATTCATTAGAAATAGGTCATTCCAGGGCTGAAATTATCCAAATGATTCTAGTGAAGGTGTATAGAGTTTTTAAACACAGCGGAGCACTTCCTGTACTACCACATGACATCACAAGGTGGAACGGAGTGTTTTGAATTTGAGAGAAAAATACAGCCCAAATATGCTGTTTTTTTTTTTTTTTTTTTTGTTAAACGTGTGAATGAAAAAAACTCAACTCCATGTATGTTTTTGATGAAGAAACAACATCATAACATCATAACATAGATCAGAAAATAGTGAAATAAGGGCCCTATAAGGTTGCAAAAAGAGCTGATGCTTCATTAAATTTTTTGTGAAATTTCAGCCATGACTTTTAGAGGCACATTTAATGCACATTTTGATACATACCCATAATATCATTTGCACATTGCCATTAGGATATACATAACTTCAAAAGCATTAAATAGCAAATGAAATTAATAGAGAAATATTATCAGGGTTTAATTGTGTTATTTGGAAAAGATTAATAAAGAGCAGAAGTAGTGCATTCAGTCAGTAGTCAGTTTATCAAAATTTCCCCTCTATTATTTTAAGCACAGTGGGAACTAATTTTATGGGAGGGGCTGTAACCGTAACTGTAGGTGACCAGAAAACAGAAGTATATTTTTGCAGCTACTGATAGAAACTCTCACAAATGAATTATATGTTCTCTGTTTAAAGGGAAAGTTCTTTGGGTGCATTGGGACAACCACAATTGAAATTTGGCAAGCTAAATTAAAACTGTGTGAAGTGACCACGTGCGTTATGTTGGATGGTACTTTCTAACTGGACATCCCCGAAACATCCACCTCTCCAGAATGCCTCACAGCGCCTGGTTCAATATTAAATGTCCTCTACCGACATCTAGTGGACTGGACGAGAATCGCACATAGCTAGTACGCCATTGCTGTTAGAATAAGTACAATATTTTCAGGTAGCCCAATGATTCATTACAAAAAATAAATATATTAATAAATACATTCTTCGATTTATATAATAGACATGAATTAAGAAACTGTGTGTTAAGAAAATGTGTGTAAAATATTGCTGGTTTGAAAAAAACAAACAAAAACACAGTAAAGATATTGTTTGTTTAAGTACATTTCGATAAATTGTATCTAGAAAATATTAGCAAATTTGTAAAACTGTTGCTTCTGCCATCTGTATTTGAAATAAGACGATAAACGTGATTTTTAGTTTTTCTGTGTTTGTCTCCAATGTAAAGCGTCTGGGTATTTTGAATGGTATGATTTTTTTTTTTTCTTTGTTATTACACTGGAATCACTTCAGACTTTTAGGGTCTCAATTTTCTCACTGCCTTAAAAATATGTCATCATACAAAGCTTTACTGTCACTGCATTTTTTTGTACAGGAGTGACATTAAAGATTTTACATTTAAAAGCATGAAAAGTGACATTATTTGATAAAATTCTGTTATATCAGAATGGTTTATTATGCAGTTATGATCACATAAATACTTAAACTTTAACTAAACAGCAGCTAAAAATGGGTTTCAGAGTTAAAATCCAAATGATGGTTTGGTGCTGAGTCCTCACTTCTCCCACAGAGACATGATACCAGGGGAAGGGGATGAGATGCTTCTGCCGGAGGAGTCTTTACTCTAAACCTCAGCTCGACCAAATAAGTGGATCAAACAGTGAGTGGGGCCTTATCTCCACTTCCCCTGACTGTTTGCTGGACTGCTGTATCTGATGAAGCCTTATCCAGGCCCTGCACTGCTGGTTCACATGTCATGTTATCACCCAGGTCCTTTCCCGAGGGCGCCCACAGGAAGAGTGCGCTCCCTGGGCACTGCACAACAAGCATCCCCCTGCCCTCCAGACCACTCCAGTGAAATGCACCAGGATCAAGGCAAGGAAGTGTTGGCACTAAATAGAGAGAACATTTAAACATGGATTATTGCACTTGAAATCTAATCTGTGATCATAATACACAAAACATCCTATGCCTAATATTTACCATAGGGACATTTAGTACCTAGTTTGCATTTTCTGCTTTGCTTGGTTTGTTTAATTTGAAACAAGAGGTGTAAGTAAGTCGGCTCAGTATTATATTAACTATAGCCTATGTATGCAAAAAGTTCAATTAGAAGCGCATATCGTAATAAACCAAACAGTAATGTCATTAAAAGCATACAAGTTAAAGTAATCGTTGTCATTTTAAAGTTTTGGGGGGAAAACACAATCTGCACAATGCATATTTTCTTTCATATTGAAACCTAATGCTGATGCCTATTTTTAGTCTATAGATTAAGTGTTGCCAATATTTGGATTAGGCTTCTTTAGGGCGGTGGTTATTTTATTGATTGTAAACCACAACAATGCAGACAATCTAGAAAAGCGCCTCTCTGTCTAATAAACTTTGTAGGTACAAGTAGGAAGTTGTGGAGGAGCGCGAAAGGGGAGGGGGGGAGTTTGCGCATGGAATCCAGTGGCACAGGCGCGCGTTTCTCAATAGCCTACTTCACAAGTGGAATGACGCGCTCGGGGACCCACAGACGCTCCTGTCCGCCTGGACTTGTGGCTAAGTTATGAAATCAAACCAAGCGCACACAGGTACTACACGAGACGCACAGAATGTCGGCGCACGGATTGTTGAGTAGCGTTTTTTCGTGTTCGTTGAGCCCGAAGAGTATATCCAAGCGGAGACTGAGGCAGACCCGGAGTTTGGACCCGGCTTTGATACGACACTTCGGAAATGAGGATGAGAAGAAGCCGAAGAGGCCATACATGATTCAGGTGAATAGAATATTGCGCTGCTATTAAAGCTTCTTTGATTTGTGTGTATGGTGATGATGCATAACTGCACTGTCACCTTTACTAAGGTAGAAAAACTTTCATACAGTAATTAAGCGCATCTTTACGCACTGGAAACACTGTGCAGGACTTTCTTTAGATCTATCAAATTAAAAAAGCTGTATCAGGGAATTCCACACAAACTTGTTGCCAGTGACTATAACCAGTGCCAAACTTTTCCATGTTGTTGCTTCGTCATTTTACGAGTGATTCAGTGCATTCTTTCGGATGTAACGACGTCAGACTGAGCGCAGCGTGTGTTAACTTGCAGCTTTATGTTTAGTGTTGCTGTTGCGCCGTCACATTGTTCCAAATTGATTCAGTGGTGAAACACCGCACATCACCAGGAAGGCGTGGCTCTGGAAATGGTAAAACTCTGCTGTGCCAAAGCAGATGATGGATTAACTGATTATTTGTGTTGGCAGTTGTCTTCTTCATTCCTTTCACTTCGCTGTGTTTTTATTACATGGAAATAGGATTTCAAACATTTCATCTTATCAGATGTGCACAATAACAACACATTTTATAAGATAGACTTAGAAGTTACCATGCCTTAGTGATTTTGTATAACTTGTTTTGTTTTTGGATTAATAGTGGTAATATAGTATAGTGTTAAACTTTACTCCACTCCAATTTGTGTGCTTAGCCTACTTCTTTTAGGTTACTTAAACAATAGTTATGATCAGTATGTTTACTTCTGCTGGAGTTGCCACGGAAAACAGTACTTTACTTTGTCAGTAGTTTTGTACTTGCACTTCTCCTTTTCTATTACTGGTCAGACAGGGCTGAAAATAACTCAAGAGATTAAAGGATCTACAGGCTTTATCATTATCTCACAGCTAAAAAATATTGTGTAGTTTTTACAGAACTTATAACGGTACACGTCTGATCTGGAGCACTGAAGAAGTCACTGAGTGCAGGAGCGATGACATCACAACGTGTCCAAGACGTTCAATCGCGACTCGCCAAAATCTGTTCTGCTATTCTTGCTCTGGTTGTCATGGAAACACTGTTTGTTTAATGGAAATATATTACATACAGTATAAGAGCCAGCTAATGAACACCAGGTATCTGTTCTCTGTTACGGCCATCAGCGCTGGTCCCATTCTGCTGCCAGAGCCCTTAGAAATGTAATCACAGTAAATCTGGCTAGTGCTGATTAATGCTGAAGACAGCTGTGTACCAGTGAGCATATCTAATACAATTTATGTGCTTTAGGCAGTACTTGCCCTACGCAGTGTTACACCCAAGTGTCTTGCCATGCACTGTCATGTTCAGCAGATTACAATCTTTGACATTTCTCAGACTTAAAGGGCCAATATTATGCTATTTTCTGATCTATGTTATAATGTTTCCTCATCACAAACACATCTGGAGTTTTGTTTTGTTTTATTCACAAATGTTTAACACACAAACCCTGCATATTTAGGCTGAGTGCTTCTCACAAACAGAAAACACACTGTTCCACCCTGTGATGTCATGTGGTAATACATGAAGTCACTAGAAACATTTGTTTTATTTCAGCCCCGGATCTGCCAATCTCTAGTGAACTAAACGTAAAAGATCATGACTTCACAAGATGGAACAAAGCATTCTGAACTTTGTAGATATAAACAAACTAATAGTAAAAAAGTTACTCAAACATGTGTGAATGAAACAAAACACAGCTCCAGGTATGTTTCTGATGAGGTAAGAGGTTTAAAGCTACAAGAGTCAATTTTGTGTAATATAGGACCTTTAAGTGCCCCACATTTCACATCGCCGCAAGTTAGAAAATGTACTGGCAAGGGAATAAGGTCATGTATTTACTATTATTTTAAGCTGTGCTCCTGCCAACTTTTGTTATGAGGTGAAGGTACGAAATTCTAGGAGGACACTCACACGACAAGTTGCGCAGACAGCATAAACAAACACCTGACGATACACAATGCAAATTTCAAGTCAAGCTCCGTGGTGATGAGATTTTGGCTGTGAGATCATCGCAAAAGCATAAGTCAGCTAAAGTTCACAGTATTCCCGTTTTGCGAGCAACACTTATGCACGTTCACTCAGTCCAGGGGCTAGCTGTACACTATAGGACTCTTATACATGTTATGCAACTCTTGGAATACTGTCTTTCGGAGTTCTTTCCAAAATATGCTTAGTGGAGCGTAAATCACAAAGCAAAGCCTCGGTGTAGATAGGATCATAGGATATCCTTCAATGCACAGTCACCAGGTAGAGTCTGTGCTGGTGCTGGGGTTGAATAGACTTGTTTTAAGGTAAATAGAGATGTGCAAATGTGCAACAGAAGGTTAAGAAGCAATAAAAAGGTGAAGTTTTTGTGAATAAAATATCTTAGATTAACGCTAATGTAAATTTAAACATCATTATTATCTTACAATTAACTCATTTTGTTGTTAGAGAAGTACTACTGTTGTTAATACAAAATTTCAAACTTGATTTTGACTAAGGAAAAGACTCAATACTTTATACTGATTCCATAATTAAAAAACTCTCTTTCTTTAGACACTAAAATGTTATTTTCAACATCGTAGTACTTTCTTTTATATTACCACGTGGCCTTACGTTTGTGTAATCCCTCAGTTGTCCAGGTAGGTTCCTTTGTGATCCATGGGCGTAGTCTGTGTGACCTTATACTTGTTCTGATACAGCACAAGATCGTTCTAACGCTATTCAGGAACGGCTCATTTCTAATTTTTCTCATGACTTTTTAAATATTGATCTTACTCAAGTTAGTATCTAGTTTCAGTATTAGTTTTGTATTGATTAGTGTCTGAGTTTCGATAACCCTATTTGTTAAAACTATGCAGTGACTACTATGACACGTGCACAAATAAAAAAAAAAAACTATTAAATTAAGTAGAAATCTTGACAAAAGTAGCATCAGCTTGACAAAAAGGCTCTTTATACCGCTGAACTGTTTATTTTTGCATAGTGTTGAATATTTGTTATGTTGTGTTTTAGTGTGTTCTAAATAAATTACTTTATACCTCCCATTAGATTGAACAGTGCTCTGTATTAGAGGTGTACTCACTGGGGTCCAGGGGTGAGCTGAGATGGAAAACAGGGACATCTGGTTTACATGAAGAAAGCCTCCACTCTTATTTCTCACAGTTGAGCAGCATGACCTGATCCTTGGCTACAGTCCCTAAGGCAAATACTTCTTCCCACTGGAGAACCTCCGTGTGCATGGCAAGACACTAAACATGCTGGCCACTGCGGAGTGTCCACTTTGAGCCTGCTAATAAATAAAGAATATACAATGGAGTTTACGGCTATAGGTCAGAGTTTGGCATTGATTCACTGGGAACTCACTGTCATACATCTTTACACTGTTATGTAACTATACCGTATGGCCTACTTACTGCATGTCAAAGCATTCTCCAGTGCTTTGTAAATGGCTGTCTCAAATGACCACATCTAGAAAGAAAAAACAAAGTCCAAATTAAAAACATAATTTTGTAAGACTGTGTTACGTGTGTTCCCGATGAGTCATCCAGGGAAATAGGTCCAAGAGCTGTTACCCGATTCTGCTCTCCATTGCTTAGGTGTTTGTTTCTCTTTGCCGAATATCTGATGATGTAGGGACAGCAACAGTTGACAGGTAATGTTGGCTTGTTAGGGCTAAATGTCACTGGCATTCTTGTGGGCTCCATGGAGCAGTAACAGCCTGAAGATCTAAACATTGACGAAAACTGCTTATTTTGCAAAACCACATGGATTTCACAAGCTGTTGAATGATTTTTATATCTAATCTGACTTTTTTTCCATTAATTACTCAAGACTGGAGCGAGAATTGCTAATAACATTCAACAAACTGGTTTATGACTGTGCCATTTATGTTTATTACCATTTACAGAAATGAAGAATTCAATTAAAGGGGCACTGCGTAACTTTTCCGATGTAGGGTCTGCAGATTTTATTGCTTTGCCTGGAATGTTCCATGGTATAACAACACAAATACAGAGCCTTTGCAGTTGTTTTGTTTTGCGTTAGGTTTTATACCAGGGTTTAAAACATGCATTCTTACTGTGCTTGGGCTTGCCTCTTCCTAGATGTGACTTTTAACCGGTTGTGCCATCTTCTCAACCAGTTTGCTCAAGTTTAATATACTGTGGAATATTCTAGGCAAAGTTTCACATTGTACCTTTAGTATTTGCGGTCAGAAGGGATTGGCTTACTCACCCCAAGAACATTAAATTAATTTACAAGCAGGGATGTCATGATACTTGAACTCCTCCACTTGAGGCAAGGTCATGAGCTCTGGGTAGTGACCGAAAGGACGAGATCGCGGATACAAGCGCTCGAAATGAGTTTCCTCCGCAGGGTGGCTGGGCGCTCCCTTAGAGATAGGGTGAGGAGCTCAGTCACACGGGAGGAGCTCGGAGTAGAGCCGCTGCTCCTCCACGTCGAGAGGAGCCAGTTGAGGTGGCTCGGGCATCTGTTCCGGATGCCTCCTGGGCGCCTCCCTCGGGAGGTGTTCTGGGCATGTCCCACCGGGAGGAGGCCTCGGGGAAGACCCAGGACACGCTGGAGGGACTATGTTTCTCAGCTGGCCTGGGAACGCCTCGGGGTCCCCCCGGAGGAGCTGGAGGACGTGTCTGGGGTGAAGGAAGTCTGGGAGTCCCTGCTTAGGCTGCTGCCCCCGCGACCCGGCCCCGGATAAGCGGACGAAAATGGATGGATGGATGGATGGATGTCATGATTTAGAATTTTAATATTATGATTAATGTGAGAAATAATTCCATGATTTAGTGATTATTCATGATTATTGACCGCATGACCAAAGGACAGGGAACTTTCATTTCTGTGTTAAAGGGACAGTCTGAAATTTTGGACATAGGACCTCATTTCCTAGTTAGCCAGAGTGTTGGAGACGTGTGGAGATGCTTTTTTAAAATATTGCATCCAATCTTTGTATTTGCAGAGGTCGCTGGTGC